GATATTGTTAAGTATCTAAAACATCGGTCTTGGAAGTTTATTCCAAGATTTGTGAAAGATCGATATTGATTTCATTTTCCAATCTTCTCAAATCTTCACATTGCAGCTAAGTTCTCTAGATCTTTCTCCTTTTATGATGGATCCCATCACACACAAGGTCTAAATTTATTTGTTAGACATAACTTATTTGGCGTACTCTATCAGACAATTTTGTTTCACAGTTTATATGGCCCATGTTTGGGAGTATTTTGGTATAATATTTTTGATTTGCATACCTGGGTTTGCTACTATTTTATCTTGGAAGAAGATTTTGGCACAAAGATTAGTGGGCTTTGTGTTGGTTTTTTAGTTGCAAAGCACTTTTATTAAATATTCAACACGTCCAGTTTCACCTACCATCTATGTCTAAACCATTTATTATATTTCACACATATTCAATATACTTGCCTTTCTAATTTTAATTTTAATCATAGGATGAAGAAATGAAAGCATATTTATTATTGCATTTGCTGTTACTTTATACGTAGTATAATAGAAAGAGGTTGGCAGAATGAGGTATTATTAGTCCCTTGGGTCAAGTAAGATGTTTTAAATGTATTTTCAGAACTAATTAATTAGTTCACCTGATATTTAATATTCTCAGAGTAGAAATGCAACAACTGTTTCTTCTTCCCCTTTGTCTCTCTCTCGAGCAAATGTAAAACTAGTGCCAAACAGAATAAACTTCTTAGACAACTGAAAAGCCCCAGTTTGAAGCACAATGGACTTTATTGCAAGAGGCTTTGTGGGCTAATGATGACTACTTACCAGATGGACTAAAAGTAGAGAAATTATAATATAAAAAAACTAAGAGTCCATCAAAACCTAATTTTCACCTTATCAGCTACTCCCTCCGTCCCCTTTTAAATGAGACGGGAGATGGTGGCACGGGTTTTAAGAAAAGTGAGTTTGTGTGGTTGATATTAATTGATAAAGTAAGAATAAAGTAAGAATGATTTTGAGCCACACAAAGTTTACCAAATAAGGTATGGGGCAATTAAATAGGGACATCCCAATATGGTAAAACGGGACATTTAAAAGGGGACGGAGGGAGTAACTTTTAACTAAACAATAATTTTTTTTATTGCGCTCTGCTCACATTTAATGTGTTGATGAATAAACTGTGTTTAATACAATGTTGGCAGGTGTTTCTTGTGACTGCAATACAGCAAAAACAAAATGTATCTCAAGTCAAGCTTGTCTTGGAACGTAGTGATCCCTGCCAAAAATCTTGATGCCAAGGGCTTGATGCTTCAAAAGGCAATCACAGTCCGTCTCTTGGATGACTTTGCTTCCAAGAAAGCCACTAGAACCCTCGGTTACTTCCTAGCAGTGACTACACTGGACAAGATTGGTGAAGGTAAAATCAGAGAGAACAAAGGAGATGTGTTGTTCCCCGTTGATTTCTGCTGCATCTCTTTCAAGATCTTCCGTGGAGAGATTCTAGAAGGCGTCGTCCACAAGATTCTCAAACACGGCGTTTTCATGAGGTGCGGGCCCATCGAGCACATCTACCTGTCGCACCAAAAGATGTCTGACTACCGTTACGTCCCCGGGGAAAACCCCATCTTCATGAATGACAAGATGTCAAAGATTGAGAAGGAAACCGTGGTTCGTTTCATTGTGATTGGGGAGAAGTATGTGGAGGCCGAGAAGGAGTTTCAGGCCGTTGTGAGTTTGGAGGGTGACTACCTTGGTCCAGTTGCACAGAGCTCTGGCATATGATGGTGCCATGGAATTTTGTAGAACTATAAACTATGGAACAGCATGGCATTTTGTAATTGCTGACAACATGGAGGCTAATACTTATGGTCTATTTCATGCGTTCCATCTTTATTTTCTCTACCAGCCTGTGTTATTATGTTATCTATTCGGTGAGTACTCGGGGAGGCTGATCTTTTAGCCATTGGGCTTGGCCTGGCCTGTTTTCTTGAGTTACTCAGAGTACCCAGAGAGTTTCTTAACTAGGGGAAATATTTGACTTGGCAAGTTACTCGACCACCAATCTAGAGACATAGAGAGTTATAACTCAGGTTTACTGTTATAACTCAGATTGAATGGTCATCACATTACAGATTTACAGAGTAATAACTCAGATATTTTATATTGTTGGCTATGCACGAGGACTACAAATGCATAGACTGCATTTGTCTCCGTACTACTTACCCTACTTAGAAGAAAATCATATGCACACATGTAAGTAGTGAAGACATAAAACACCTTCAAACAATTGTCATTAAACAATTTTCATCAAATAACAACAGAGAAAATTGCACTAAACACGATTACAACATAGTCTTATTTTCTAAATAGGAATCCATGTTTTATATTCCTTAAATAGGATTTAGTATTATATTTTTACTATTAATATAAATAATTACCTCCTAGTTTCCCACCATAACCAAAGTAGTTCGAACAGTGTCCGAACATGGTCATTTGGGGTATTTTCCGGTGGAATTTTTTGATGAAATTTTTTGAGCATGTTCCTCATCAAGTCTAGTTTGTCCATATCAAATTTCAGCTCAAAATTCGATCGGAAAGGCAGTCAAATCATTTTTTTTAATTTGACTGCGCCAAAATATACATATAAAAACGCAGTCAACTTCAAAAAATGATTTGAATGTCTTCCCGATCGAATTTTGATCTGAAATTTGGTTTGGACAAACTAGACTTAGTGAGGAACATGCTCAAAAAATTTCATCAAAAAAATCCACCGGGAAGGGTCCCAAATAGCCATGTTCGGACGGAGGCTCCTGTCCAAACGTGGGGACCTGAACAATTCCGATCAATGGAGTTCCTACGGCTGGCGGCGGCACTCGGGTGACAAAGTTCCAACTCTATATGGGTATATTTGTCCAATCACAAATAATAAGTTCATTTAGGGAATTTTACACATTCACTCTTATTTTTGGATTTTTAGCATGTTTTACTTCTATGGCAGGAATGTTTCAATGTTCATATTCATCATTTATATAGCCCAAAAGCATACACCATGTATTACACCATGTAATACAATGCACAAGAGTAATTGACACCAAGGAGCTTCTATGTTCGTATTCTTATTTCATCTAGAATATGTTAGATTAGAAAAAAAAAATTATATCATATCAGATAAAAATAAGGGAAAGTTCCCGAAATAGGACCAAAACAGTTTGAAAATTCCAAAATAGGACTGCCATATTTTTTATTCCCGAAATAGGAGTAATTACTGTCAAATTTGGAAAATACTGCCATGTTTAAAGTCTGATACTGCCAAAACATGACAGTAATTAGTCCTATTTCGGGAATAAAAACATGGCAATCCTATTTTGGAATTTGCAAACCTTTTTAGTCCTATTTTGGGTAATATCTCTAAAAATAAACAGATCAGATTATATAGTAGAATTTAGACCAGATTAGATCAGATCATATTTGAAAATTTCAGATCAGAACATAAACATTCATATCAGATCAGAAAAGTCCAGACATTATTTATTACTTATGTTATTATTGTTGTTATAATAATAATTAGTGTAATTATTATTATTATTATTATTAGTATTAGTATTAGTATTATTATTATTATAATGAAAGTGATTAGTTAAAAAGTTAACATAATATCGGAAATTAATATGCTGGTATTAATTTGCTGATTCAACAAACTTTTAGCTAACTGTTGTTATGAAATATCGGAAATTCTAAAATCGAGGACTGCAATAGTATTTATTTTAAATATGACTATTCTATAAGTTTTTTTTTAAGTTCTACTGCAAATAAAATAGCAAAAAATATTCCATATAAAATACAATTTTGATATGGAGTAAATTTTTTGAGTAGATTTTTTAAATACAGTAGATTTTTTAGTTATGTACTTTTCATGACAAAATCAAAGCTGAAGGATTGAAAATGTCAATTTCACAATACTTATAATATGAAATATCGGGAATACTAAAATGGAGGAAAAAAAGTGTCTCACTCACCAAAAACGGACCAATCTATCATCTGGGTTTTTAAACCAATTTGTCTCTATAGGCTTATTTTTTACCAATTTGGCAAAACCGCTTGAACATTATGGTATAAATGCACTTTGATTTCCCCCACCAGAGAAGCCAAAATCTCTTTTAGCCGATTAGCTAAAACCTTAGAGAAAATTTTGTACACTACATCACACAGAGCTATTGGTCTCAACTCCCTCATATTCTCCGCCTAATCTTTCTTAGGAATTAAAAAATATTTGTAATATATAAATTCTTATGTAATGTACTGGTATATATTTGACACAGGTACCTAAAGAGAATTGTTTTATACATATACAAAATTAACCACCTAATATGCATGCGTGTCTGCATATGTGTGTGCGCATGTAATACATATACAAAATTAACCACCTAATATGCATGTTTGTGTCCTGTTTATATATATATACAAAATCAACCTCCTAATATGCATGTGCGTGCGCATCAACTACCCATTATATGTGTGTTTGTATATTATAAACTATACTATGTATATCTAATTAGGATTTTTTTATTAGCAAAAATGCTAAATATCTATCATAAATTTAGAGTCTTTTAACTTTGATAAATATAATTATCAACTTATTTCACACATTATAAGTATAATTTCTATTATTGTGTGTTAGTGTATATTTAATTTCAAAAAGTTTGAAATAGATTTATATTTATTAATTACAAAATTGATTTACTCTAGTATGTTGTGCATAACCTAAAAATGCATTGGTCCATTAAATTGTAAAGAAAAATGTAATGTTACAAATTAAATTCTAAAAACACATATTAAGTCATAACATGTTTTTATAATATAAAAATACAAGAAAAAAAGTTATTTTAATATAATATTTGACTAACATATAACTTATGCTCAAATAGATTCGATATTCATTAACAATTCATTGAATATTTGTATTGTTCAACAAATACAAATCCAAATTAATATTTGATTTCGTATTCGAAAAAGTTTAATGAGTACAAATACAAGATCCCACTGTTTGGCTATTTTACAACCAACTGAAGAGGAGGAACTTCAAGCCACAAAGCGGCCGACTGGACCGAGGGATTCGACGGAAGACCAAGTCAACGACGCCTCTTTCGCCGCTAACCCGCCACCGCGCCCCGCCTCTCCAAGACCAGGACTCCACCGCGCCCCTTACTGCCTCGGACCTCGATATTTGGTAAGCATATACGGAGTATGATTTTCTGAATTTTCTCTTTTCAATTGCAAATTAGGTTGTTATCTGTTTGTTTATTGAAAAAAATGAAGTAATTCAATTGTAATTGTATTTAACAATTAAGAAGTTGTTTTAAGTATGTTATAAGAAATTGGCTCCAGTCTTTCACAATTTTGATGTCCATGCCTCTATGATTTCTTATACGGAGCAGTTTGTAAGGTATCTTGTTTTTGTTCTTAAAATTTGTTTCAGTTCTTTGCTCTTCCATGTTTCTTTAATAAATTTGTCCAATAATTTTTGGGTACCCCTCCCATGTCAGTAAAACCTCCACCTGCAAATACAATTTTTAAGGATTGGACTTGAGAAACTTATAAGTAGATATGAATGGTCTCCAAGAACTCTAAATACTGATTTTTCAGCATTTCTCATTTTTTTACACAAATATAAAACTAAATAAAGTATATGGAGCATCTCTATCCCTTTGATACGGTATACTATTTTTTCAATCTGTGTATTGATTAATCTGTTCAATTTTAATGATATAGCTCACTCATTTTTAATAGACATATTTGAGGAATAACTACACTATAAAGAAAAAAGATTAATTTTGTTTGATTAAAATTATAATGGTTTCTCAATTGTAATAGAAATATGGTTGAAGAATATACTTTCATGGATTCAAGCTCTTATATCAGATGGAGGCTTTGGGTAGATGATAGCAAAATAAGGCCTCTTGTTTAATTTTGACAGGGTCTCTAATTTGTCAGGGCCGGCCTTGTTGCCAGGTAGCGGTACCTATCATCAGCGGCCTACAAAGCACACCCCCATGGCTTCCGCTACACCTCCGCCGCCGCCGCCGCATTCTACCTTCACCAGAGGCCTTCAAAGCACTAGGAAACCTCTAGGTTTATTCGCCAATGCTAAGAAGAGAAAACACAGCTTTGTTCAATTTTTCGCGATGACTGGAATTCTGCTGTTGAGCGTCCGCTCTCTGGGACAGAAATACCGAATCAACGATCTCCAAGAGGACATGGCAGGGCTGAAAGAAGAGGGAGATGGCCTCAGTAAACGAATGGATCGCATCAAGCAAAGCCTTTTAGCCGAGGCTGCTGCCGATCGCACCGGCCTCTTCGCTTCACGGCTTCGCCTTCTCTTCGCCAAAGACAAGAAAGACTAGCCTAGTCTTACTAGGTTGCAATATTTTCTACCGGTTTTTCCTTTCGTGCATATCGATGGTCCTGAATCACAACATGTTTTCAATTTGGAATTTATGATATATTGAGAATGAAAGAGAAAAATAATGTTTCAGTTTATTCATGTGAGGTGGCTGACGTGCACTTTGTCGTGAGTGCACTCAAAGTAAATACAATACAACAAATATACGTAGTATATTGAAGTAAGGTTCGTATCCGCAGGGAAAGGAATAATTTTCTTTTTATATAAATAGTAAGTAAAGGGGGGTTTAGATTTTTGAGTGATTTAATTAAATTTAAACACGAAGATGAACGATTTATATGGATTTAATTCAAAGATAAAATTGACTTGGTATTGCTACTTTCCACTTGTTGATATATTTTAGTCGATCATTGTTATATCTATAACTTATCTCCTCTCGAATACTCAATCGAGGAGTATATCCAATTCATCGAGGATAGTTATTAACAACAACCGTTCATTAATAACCCTTACTATTAGTCAAGTATAGAACAACGCCGTATACCGACTTGATAGTAGCATTTAATCGCTTAACTCCTTGATGAAATCAATTGAGATCGATAACCTCAACACAAGCGGTTTTGGTTTAACCAACACAATTAATTCCTCTTAGGTCTATTAACCACGACCGTGCATTAATAAACCGAAGTTACTTACTTGTGAAACTATCAACGATTAACCATCGGTTCGTTGATCATTTCTAGTAGTAATTAATATATGAAACAAAACTAGTTGATCCTTTAAGTAATGTTCAAAATATTAATATGAAATATGCATAGGAATTAATTAATACTCAAGGAAGAATATTAAAGGGAATGAATCATACTATAGTTAAATATCAAGATGTTAACTAATTGTCATCTTAGTAACACTCCCCGATATTAACATAGAGGAAGGAATAGCTATTACTAAAACCAATGTCAAGATGTTAACTAATTGTCATCTTAGTAACACTCCCCAACATTGATATAGAAATAGTATTTAAAGGAAGAATTAATATTCAAGGAAAAGAAGTTAAGAAAATAACTCACAACTTTAATAATCAACAAGCTTCAAGAGCAATACCAAGAAATGGAAGTTTAGCTCCTCATTTGGAGACTAAACATGCTAAAAGAAATATAGAGAAATGCTATTCTAAACTGAGCTTAAGAGTATATAGGAATTGGTGTTTTAAAGTGAAGGAAAGGAGATGTATTTATAGGCTTTTTGAGGTGCAGGCTCGGGTACTCGATCGAGTATATACAGATACTCGATCGAGTATGTGTAGAAATACCAGATTCGAGGTATACTCGATCGAGTATATGTTCATACTCGGTCGAGTATGTGCAGAAAGTGATATTCGAGCCATACTCGACCGATTTCGGGTTTAAACTCAAAAGCATACTCGATCGGGTATGTCGGTCTACCCGATCGAGTATAGACACTAAATCGTGGCCAAAATCTTCCCGGCATGTTCCTTTGTCTTCGGATCCGATCCGATTTGAAGTTTCAACCTTATACTCGATCGAGTATAGGTAATACTCGACCGAGTATAGACCAAAATCAGGATTTTCCCTTTTGTCTTGTGATTTTGCACCTTCCTTCCACTTTTGGGGTTCACCAACTGTCCTTTGAGTGATGGTAGACCTGTTTGAGCTCAGAATGACCCTAATCTAAACAAATTACAAGAATTCAACAAACTAAACTATTACACCAAAAGTGTGTAATTTCCGAAATACTAAACAACCAAAACTAGCTAAAAACGTAAACATACACACGGAAATTACAAGTGTATCAGTGGCTCAAATATGAACTACAGCATTCAAATACGGAGTAGGTGTTAATAGCTAGTTTACCAATGCTATTGAAACATAACCCTTAAGCCCTATCAATCAAATGTAGTATTTAACAAGAAGTGTGAGGTTTCCAAGAATGGTTTGATTTTGATATATAGTGGCTGAATGATTTTATCTGATATGGGTGATATTATGGATTTCTATCTAGTATCATATTGTACTACGTAATTGATTCTGCTAATGCTAATGCAAGCTTTGTTTGTGGCTTGGGTTCAACTATGATGTGATATTAGTTTCCTGTTTTTCATTTCATTATGATGTGCTATGTTCAATACATAGGTGATACCGCATAGGAGTCTTGCTTCCCTCTCCACCCCCTAATCCTTTTTATGCTCTGTCTGCACCTAACACGGTTTAGATCGTTTCTTACAAGTATGTATAAGTGTATATTACGCAGTGCTGTGAAGGCACTTGTTTGTTAGTGTCTACCATCATTTCCTACCCATCAAAGTTCACTTGCCCATTCAGAACCTTTCGGTGGAGCTTCATTTCTTCTTCCCTCCTGTCTTCTTTCAATGAGAGTTGAGAATATGCGATTGTCATTGCTCTGGAGGAGGACACTCAGCTGATTGCACATTCATTGATCACGAGCAAGCTAATAGAATGCTATGCATTAAATCCAATGAGGTGGTGGGAGAGAGGCAGACCCTCAAGTGGTATAAGGGACAAGGGATAAAGAAGTTGAATAAATAACAGACTTAATAAACCCCAAAATTGCTCGAGTATGGAACACTTATTATTGCTACTGGATGCACAACCCCCAAAAAGTAAAGAAAGCTGTAGTGGTTGGTGGTGGCTACATCGGTATGGATGTAGCAACAGCTGCAGTTGTTTGGACACTTGATACAAATGTGATTTTTCCTGATAAGCATCACTTGAGCCTTGCCGGGATTATTTACTTTGTTCCACTTCTTTGGTTACAAGTATGAACAACTACACGAAGAGAGTGGTGTCAAATGAAAGTTGTTTTTCCATCAGACGGCTGTTCCCGTAACTCTACTCTTCCGAGCTATTGTCGTAGGAAATTGATGCTCTCTAGGTTTGCGATTTGCGAGTATCGTTGTCCGTCTACCTGAAGCCTAAGCGGCAGCCATGCCGCCGGCGGAAGGGAAACGACCGATGTCCGCCCAACCTCAGGCTTCGTACGCAGCGGTGGTAAGGGATCCAGTCCCCGACCACCACGTACACACTCAATCTGTCTCCTTTTGCGACGCGGTTGGACTTGGTTCGACTGGAACTTTCAGAGGATGCCCGGCGGTAACATTCTCCGAGGACAATTTACAGGTCTTCTCCAATCCTTTCAGATATGCACTTGTTGGTACCTTTCCTTTCGGGCGCCCCCCTCTCATGGCAATCCGTAAAGCTTTTTCGGCTTTAGGATTCGTCCAAGCTTTTTCCGTAGGTCTTCTTCACTCGAACATCGTACTGATTAATTTCAAATCTGACCTAGATTTTCATAGATTCTGGGGAAAAAAGAATTGGGATTTTTTTGGGTACAAGATGGTGGTTACCAGATGGACACCTTCTTTCTCTATTGACCGAGACTCCCCTTTTGCACCAGTCTGGGTTTCCCTGGAAGGTCTGCCAATCCACCTCCATGATGTTATGGCTCTCTCAACTATTGCTAACCTTCTGGGGAAACCGATTCGAATTGATGGCCCAACCGCCAATTTTTCAAGACCTTCAATTGCTAGAATTTGTATTGAAATTGATATTTCCCTTGATCTTCCCCAAAAAATTTGGATTGGAAATGGTAGAACTGGGTTTTTTCAGAACATTTCGTATGAAAAATTACCTTTGTTTTGCCGCACTTGTTCACGGTTTGGCCACTCTCTTACTGATTGCCCTCGGAAAGGAGATGCCCCGGGAGTCTCTATGGATGCTAATCAGGTTACCCCTATAATTGAGAATACTGTTTTGGCTGTGAATGATCCAAATGTTAAAGTGGATACTTCCTTGACAGTTTGTGATCCCCCGAATGTTGAATGTGATCCCCCGAATGTTGACTGTGATCCCATTATAGATGTTTCTCCTATTATTACCGATGCTTGTGGTAATTTTAACACCCCTGTGATTGATAAAACTGATTTGGATGTTAATGCTCAGAATTCAAGTTCTGTGTCCCTTAATGAAGTCCATATTGATGATTATAATGGTGTTCCCCTTACTGGTGTTGCCATTGTGAATGATCCAATTGTTAATGTGCCCACAGTCCTCGGTGATGCCCCTATTGAGATTTCAAATGTTGGTGCTTTGAATGATGAAAACACTGTTACTGAAGATGCTACCAAAGCAGCCCCCCTTTCTCATGCCTTAGTTCACGATGAACCCCCGGTGGCTACAGCAGGTGTTGTTCAATCTTGTGAGGCCCCAACAGGACATGTGGATCCTATTTTGGATCCCAATATTGCAGTTACTACACTTGACATGTCCAATGATGATAGTCCTTCTGAGGACAAACGAAATGATATTCTTAATGTTACAGGTCCTTTAGTCAATGATGAGCAACACCTTCAGGGTTTTACGGAGGTAAAAAGAAGAAAAAGCAAAGACCCGATTTCAGTCAAAACCCCAAATGAGGATACAGAAGATGTACAACTCTTCTTTGACGTGGGCTGGACGTCACACCCGATGGTCACCAGAAGCCACTCAAAAAGGCCCCAAAACGAGTCAGATTATTTCCTTTATCCGGTTGACGAAAGGTTTGATTCCCCACAAAAACTAGTTGCAGCTCTCAAGCGCTTCAAATTATCTAAGCCGGATGCAAAAGTATACCAGCCCTATCTTCAGAGAGCAATTAAGTTCCACAATAAATATAACAGATCTCTGTCTGCTTCACTTGGAATTCCTTCAAAAAATTTTAATTGCTGATGTAATTCGTATTTCTTTTTCGCTTTATTCCTTTTGTACTTTGAACTTTATTTTAATAAATTTGGGAGGTGTTCCTGGGTAAAAAAAAAAAAAAAAAAAAAGAGTGGTGTCAAATTTATTTGGGGTTCTTCAATACAACACTTAAAAATTGGTCCGGTGAAGGATGTCTACTCATAGTTAAACTTGGAGATGGATCTTTCTCTGAAGGAGGTGCAAAACCTCCTGTCAGCCCATTTGAAATGGCTGGCTTAATTATTACTATAGGTGGACATCAGGTTGATAGTCAATTCAGATCAAACAAACATGGATTTCGCTATTGGAGATGTGAGATGTCACAGTGTTTTCATTGAAGCCCAAGTACAATGTTGCAGCAAATTTTTGGGGACAATGCTGGTGAGAGGCTGAGAGCGAGACAGTGGAATTTTAAACAAAGGTTGCAAAATTTTGGATAGTCTCGAGTAAACTGTTGTTTTAGCAAGGAGTCAGTCATTTATTGACAAAGCCCAACTCCAACGCAAATCTGCACGTCTTCTTTCGAAGCAGCTCTAGATATGGTTCTAGCTTCCCTTGCCAATGAAGCACAGAACTGTTATTCGATGTTAAACGTTCATAAAATGTTAAATAAAAAACACTCCGTAAAATAATTTACATTGGGTATCTGTGTTATTGCTGCTAAGCTTTAAGGAATAAGAGCTTCGTCTACCCTAGCAGCAATTCGCTTGCACTTGAGATCTAATAGATAGTACCTTTAACTAACAAAAAATGTTACATTTTATGTTGAAGGAGAGCAGCAATGTATAAAGGTGTTTTTCCACTTACTAATTTAGGATAATTTTAAAAGGTGTATAAAAGATGCTTATGTGTCAAGAATCATTGGGCAAACACCTTCCCTTACAAGGGATGTACAAGGTAAGGTCAGAATTGGGATTTTGATTCCGCGAGGAAAAATGTTCGGTTCCGGATTTTGGGTAATGGACCCGCCGGTTCTGAACCGACGGTTCTAGTTCCAGTTTTATTGATTTGGACTCAAATGTAAAAAAAAACAGTTCGGTACATGAACCCTGATTGCTGAGAACCGAATAACATGTTCTTGTTAAATCTTCCCCATTTTCAGAACAAAGATTCTGTAAAGGGAACTGAATTGTCCATGTCCAAGTGGCTGTTCTTTTCCAATCTGATGTGACAATTGGCTATATATTTTGTCTACCAACTCAACCAATCTATGCTGGATTTCACTTTGTTTCTATGCAATATAACAATTAACAATAGACAATGTCATGACTCATGAGTGTTGGTGCATCTGTTTACAAGCACAATAATAGAAATTGTAGTAGTTAAGTGACACTTATAGAAAACGTTAGAAGTGGTCAAGTTCTGATTTTTAGGCCAATTTAAAAAATGTTAAAGAACTATAACTGATCAAGTCCTATTTTGAAGTTGTGGAAGAAGTTTTCCGGTACGTAAAACTGGTTCAATATCTTCATAAAAAAACCAGCCGATCCCGGGCTCGTTCGGAGTATTTAGCAGAGTTGGGAGAATAGGAGGATTAAATATCTAGCGACATGACTCATGAAGCCATGAGCTTGCACCTGTGTGGCTGTGTACATAAACAATGAAAGTGTTCTAACGGCTCATTGGAGACTATTTCATTTTTGCAAGAAAAAGAAAATACTAGGAGGCTAATTATGTAAAGACAGAAATGTGTTTGTTTTTTAATACGGAGTATCATTCTTACATTTAATACATACCTCGTATATACTTCTGCCTTGCACTTCCCAATTAATTTTTTATTGGATTTCAAAGAAACGATTATTAACTTCTAGCATTATTAATTAAATGAAAAAGTGATTATAATATTTCAAACTATGAGTGGTCTGCTTCTAATCATCCCTATTACGTGGTGACTCCCTCCGTTAAAAAATGAACTTCTCACTTTCCTTTTCGGGTAGTCCCGAAATTAATTTCACACTTCAAAACTTTCCTTATTTGGCAAATAATCTACATTAAAAAATTGTCAAACAGTGTTCAAACAGTGTTTAAACATTGCAAAACAGTGCACTCCACAGTAAAGTCAAATTTATTTTCTTAATCTGTGTGAAGTCAAACTGTGAACTTAATTACGGGACGGAGGGACATATCCTTTTAAATCGTATCAAGAGGTTATCCTCTCTAATTAGACTGGATGCCAGACACCAATAGAGTCGTATTTTTTTTTATCATTAAACGGGCATCTATTCATATCAAAAGATTCAGGATCATTACATCAAGCAAAAGGAAAATAAAACTGACACCAACTGAAACTTCAACAACTACGACTGTAACCCTATGTTGAGACTTTGACACGGTCACCCCTGAGAGAGCAACACGAATCGCTAACCATGTAGTGGGCTTGACACAGCCAAACCTATTTCCATAGATCCAACCATACCCAATGAAATAAAGAGAGGCAAAAAACTCAAACAAACTGTCAAAACCAACAACAAAAGTGGACACAAGAAAACAAATAACAAACAGATAAAAACTACAAGAAAAGCGTTCACGAACTCTAGCACCTCGTACATCCCATGGTGGTGGTTCAGGAGGAGGTCTTACCACCGGTACCATGCTAATTGATACTCTGTGACCTTTGTCTGACAAAGGCCATGCATTAATCCTCCGTCCCTGCATAACCAAACTCATCCCTGCTTCATGCAACCAGAGTAAACGGATAGGCAGCGCCGATCTTCTCCAACGACGACAGCAATACATCATCCTCGAACCTTGACCACAACGCCGATCTCCTCGAGCCATAGCAGCAAATCCGCCCTTCGAGTATGAAGCACAAACAACAGCAGCCGTCCTTCGATTAAAATCGAAGACGGAAATAGCGGTCGTCCTTCGATTAAAATCGAAGACGGAAAAAGCGGCCGTCCTTCGATTAAAATCGAAGACGGAAAAAAACTCCAAGCGGCCGAAGCCCTAGAGAGAAGCAAGAGACGATCGTCAAGCTATTTGGCCAGTTGAATTCAAATACTCAATCGTTCCATGACCGAATCTAGATAAGTTGAACAGTAATTCTAAGAACTAAAAGGGAATTCAGGAATCATCCACCGTTTCCCTTCAAGAATCACAAACGCTCACGAATTCCATATGTTTCAATAGAGTCGTATTAAAAAAACTCATTAGACACCTTATCTTCATTGGCTCCTCTCGCTGAACTCATAAGTTTCATCTTGTATACGATAGTATTACATGTGTCAATCTTTGTTCTTCATCGCAAACAGATTTTCTTCTGTGAAGGAAAGAAACCAAAGGTGAAGCACTGAAGCTGAAGCGGACTCGTGAAGATTGAAAGTTATACTACAAGATTGTGTCCTTTTCATTCAATTTGATTGAAATTTCAATCAAGCTTAGTGGAAGGGAGTACAATGGTAGTTCAATTTCTATCGTACAAGATGACATGAGTTATTATATGATAATTAGTAATGCTTTGTACATTTTGAGCATTTCGGGTTGTATTAGTTATTGTATTTAGGATAATTACTTGATCATTTTAAGGGTTTTACTTGCACAAACATAGTGTTATTATTAAAAGGAAAAATTGAAAATAATAATCCCAACTATTGCTGATCCGCTGAAAATAATCCCAACTATTGATTATTTTTGTATAATCCCAACTATATAGACTATCCGCCAATAATGGTCCATGACCATATATTACCTTTATAAAAAGTGAATTTTAAATAGAAATTAAGCGCAAAAATTAAAAGTTGAGATTATTTATACAGATTACTTGTTATATCTCATATCATCCACTTTAGAAACTACAAGAATTTATTCATAGGGACCATTATTGGCGGAAGGTCCCTAAAGTTGGGATTATTCTGTAATAATCAATAGTTGGGATTATTATGAGCGGACCGCCAATAGTTGGGATTATTACTATCAATTTTTCCTTATTAAAAAAAGGCCTTTTTATTCCAATATTCCTAAAAATTAGATAAAAGATAAAAAAAAAGTGATCTCTTTTTAAAAATTCTAAAAATGTGACTAACATCACACTATGTTCTTTCAGAAAATAAATATAGTCTCTTCAAAATTATAAAACAAGTAAATAGTAGGAAAACATCATTCATATTCCGTTATTTTTTAATGAAGTGGAAGGTTTTCTTACACAAAACAAATGAAGTGTCTCAAAACTTATAAGACAAGTGAAAATTGAGCATTGCAGCATCCTCAAGAAATTGAACGATAAAGGTTACACTGTCACACATGTAAGCATAAACAGCTTTGACTACCTCAATAGCGGGACTTCGTGGGGACCGCCGATCAACGACTCTTGGGCTTCTTTCCTTTGGTGTCCGGCTTGATTGATTAGGCGATGAAACAGATTCAGAATCTGCATTGATGGTTCTCACCTTCCGACTCGTCTTTGGTGTAGTAGGAGATGACCTTTGTGGCACATCCACAGTAGTTCTGCATTGATGAAGCATCAAACATTGTTGGATCATAATAAAATCAACTTTAATTTATTTTGTTTGCAGGACTGATGGTTACATTAGTTATGAACCTTGATGTCTTCAACTTTAGTAGCTCTTCATGTAACATTTAAAAAGGCATTTGTAACCCTTGAACATTTGTATGCAATCATCAATTAAGGGTCTGTTTGGTAATGTGTTTTGTAACATCCATTTCATCCAAATAAATAAATAAATAATTGCTTATTCTGCTACCAAACGGGGACCAAGTTATAACCGCTTTAGCCATTGAGGTGTGTGACTTTTTCATATTACATTAGGATTGTTTGATGGAAAAAGTTCAAACAAACCATTCACTAAGAGGTTTTAGACCAAATGGGTGTTCAGTGTTGACAAGTGGTGGATTTTAGTACTTTTCAACTCTTTAGTAACATTTCTCCTTTTTCTTATAACTTCATTGTCAAATAGTTTATACCAAAAGAAACCTGAATTCAGTGAGATAGTCCTCATAAGAAATAGAGATAAGAAAAGGGGGAAATGATTCTACTAGATATAAGGCACCTCAAACAGAAATGGGATTTATGATTCGTGAATAACATTCTGAACTCAAAATTACTTAGGAAGCAGTTTATTTAAAGTCCTACTTTAAACTTAAAGTAGTTTAAAGTACCTTTCTTAGGAAGCATTTTATGAAAAGTCCTAAATAGCCAATAATAAAAACTTAAATACCTTGCTTTTGATGTTTGCATATTTAATTTTCACCAGAAGGATTTTTTCCCTTTCCCCAGAAAAAGCCCACCTGTCACAATGCACCAGAAATAGTTCAAACAAAGCCTCGTCTGAGACAACTTAAATAATATAGTCAACGAGGATTATACAAGATTGTACGCAATTCAAACAAACTACAGAATTGCTTCAAAGAGACAGCCATTGAAATCGCATCCATGGCTCCACACATACCAACGAAGACTATATAGAGACGAAGAACGTGTATACACTTTATATTGGCCAGTGAAGAAGAGTCCAGTTGTAATTAATTATATCTTATTTTACTTAACTAGTCTTGTAAAAAAAAAAACTTAACTAGTCTTGTAATTATAGTGAGGGGGAGCCTATGCGCACTGGGTTAAGGTGTTGATGTGTGACAGAGAGGTCACGGGTTCAAGTCTTGGAGCGACCTCTTGTAAAAAAACTCACAGGGGAAGGTTTGTCCCTTATACACCCTTGTGGTGGGACCCTTACCCGGACCCTTGCCTTGTGAGGATGCCTTGGTGCACCGGGCTGCCCTTTTTAGTCTTGTACTTATGTTAAGACACACACTCTTTTTATTTAATGACAGGTCTCACTGTATTCACTTGTAAATATGGCTCATCTGTATACATTTTCATAAACTAGTCTTGGAATTATGGTAAGACACACACTCTTGTTATTTAATGACATGTCTCTCTGTATTCACTTATAAATATGGCTCATCTGTATACATGTTCACAAACTTTTCCAAATTACTCTTCATCCGTTACCCGATTCTCACATAAACTGCCCAAAGTAAAAGGAAAAAACACAGAAAAGAAAGCTAAAAAGAATAGTAGTTCTAGATAAGGAGTAAAAGCCATTTATTCACTTGATGTTCTTTCCTTTTTCTTATATTCTACCTCTTAGCCTACAATGCACAGTAAAATTCAATCGGGGAGACACTCAAATAATTTCTTGAAGTTAAATGGGCAGTTTATATGCATGAACTGCCCAATTAACTTTAAGAAATTATTTGAGTGCCTTCCCGATTGAATTTTTAGCTGAAATTTGGTATGGATAAACTAGACTTCATGAAGAACATGCTCAAAAAATTTCATCAAAAAATTCCACCGGGAAGTGCCCGAAATGCGCTCGGCCGGACAGAGCATCCCGTCAGGCCGGCCTGACATGAAGATTTATCAGCAACAAAGTGCGATTCACATATTAGAGACAGTCAAGGCATACGAAGCAGTGTAGCGGTGTAGCCAAACTGATAATTATCCCATTAGTACACATGATACTCTACTGCATGCATCGAAAGTTATTAAACTTACATATTATTTTTAAATTTCAAATATTTGATTTTTATTGATATTAATACACGTGTAACTCTAATGTATGCATCGAAAGTTATTAAACTTACGTATTGTTTTTAAATTTCAAATATTTAATTTTTTATCTTGCGCAATATTTTTTGCATGTAATAATTTTCCGTGCATCGCACGGGTAGAATACTAGTTTCTTATAAACACCTCCTAGTTGCCTGTGTACACAGACTGCTCGTTCAGAAGTTCATGTACCATAAATAAATGTGTACAAGTTATGTATAGTGACCTTCCATTAATGTCTTTATTCAAAAGTATGAAAGAGAAACATAATAATTGGAGTACCACCTAATGAAGTTCTTCTTTTGTAGGGGTGAAACCTTTTTTACGATAGGGAAATTCCCTAAATAGGATCCAATCAAACTTTAAATTGTTAAAATGTGAGTATAACTTTAAATTTCTCTAGATAAGAGTAGATTTCCAATTCTCTATATTTTAATTAATAATTAAAATATAAAAGTAATAGTAACATAATTTTATTTATAACATAAATGTAAAAAAGATAAAAACACAAAAATTATTTAATAAACAAAGTTATTAAAAATAAAAAGGAGAAAAAATAATACTACGTAATATATTTTAAAAAATTAAAAAAAAAAAAAAAGTAAAAATGTAAAAAAAATGAATGCCTTGCTGCCGCCTCAACCACCTCCTAGCACCACTAGCTCCAATCACCATAACAAATGCTAAATGTGTCAGTAATGTTATCTTGATGGCAGTTTCAGAGAAAAATTTGGCATTTTGAAAGAATAATAAAGTCATCCTCATGGCATTTTAGAGAAAAAATAATATTTTCAAACAAACTGCATTTTTCACTGATCGGGGGTGGCAGAGGTTGCAAGAAAGGCTGCTATATTTTTTTAATTTTTTATGTGTTTCATATGTTTTTATTTAGTTTTAAGATTTTTTTATTTTTTTTAATTTTTATTTACCTTTTGTTCTTTTTGTTTTTTTAATATTCTTTTATGATTTTTTTTATAAATTATTTTTTTTTACTATTTTTATGTGTTTATTACAAATTAAAATATTATTTTTCTATTAAGTTATGGTAAGGGTAGAATAGGAATATAGAGTATAATTTAGTCCTATTTTGCGAAAATAAATATTATACTTATATTTGTGCATTTAATGATTAGTTTACTCCTATTTAGATTATTTTCCCTTTTTACCATTCAATTATATTAGAAAGAGGAATACAAATTTATTTTTCGTGAAAACTTGAAAAAGAAAGTGAGGATTTGATTAGCCTAGTTAGTTAAATATGGTACTGGTATTAAACGAGTTTTAATACATACCTGGTTTATTCGGTAATGTGAATAAAAAAATGGTCAAAAATAATTGAAAAAACGTTGACTTATAAAAAAAACGTGTTCCAGTTAAACTACATGTGGGGTTTATTCGGGGTACCATATTTTTAATATGGTACCAGTTAAAAAATCTGAACACAAAATACGGGGTTTATTTTGAACATATAAACTATATACATCACAATTTAACATCTAGTAAAAAGAAATAAAAGTATATACACATATTGAAGTAGCAAAATTGATTATTACTTGAAAGATTTATTCGTAATTTCTTAAGTCAACGACAAAAATAGAAATAGTTATTAAGTCCAATAAATAATTTCGCAAAATATTGTCAAAAAATAAGGCATACTAATGGAGAATGAGGGGAGTTTTGATTTTGCACCCCACTTTTTGGGAGATATTAAACTTTGCACCCCATCGTATAATATTTTGGGGAGAAAAATTTCTAAATGGGATGTAAAGTCAAAGCTTTTAAGAAAAATGAGGTGCAAAGTCCAATATCATCCAAAAAGTGGGGTTCAAAGTCAAAACATTCCTAGAATGAGACCAAGTTAACATCATCTTTATATGATACTTTGTATCAAATAACACTCAAGTTAAACTCATTATTTGTATCAAGACGTCGGATGCCATATGAGAAAGTTGTGTGATTGCTATGCATATTAATGTGTAAACGTTTATACTAACAAATGTCATGTTTAAAAAAACTTAATTTTCATATGCTTGTTAGGAAAAACATCATAATCTAGTAGTTTTTAAGTTTTAGTCTTTTAGGATGCTAGTTCTATCCATCATGCAACTTATTTTAGTATTTAATGATTGTATATTTTATATTGCGAGAACACAAAAACACGGGTCTCGAGGAGAAGGTTTTCGTATTTGCTTTTAAACTATTGTTGATCCCTTATTTATTTAGTGCATTCATTTAATTGATCGATTCGTGTTTCTATTTTTGTAAAATACGAAAAATATACGTTTTTATGTGAAGTATGAATTGTTTCCTTAAGAAAGGATAGGTGTTTAAAATGCATTTAAAACACAAAAAACTAGGTTGATTGGAATAAAGGAAGGACTTCGAAAGTCATTTTTTTTTGTGATGGCGGAAGATTGGCAGTCACTTTAGAGTTTAGACTTTAGACTTGAGTGTGGTGAATCAATACCTTTAAATGCCTTTCTGACGTGTATTCGTTGAACTTAACAAAATCATCCCTTTAAATGCCATTTTGACGTGTATTCGTTGAACTTAACAAAATCATCCATCTTTTTTCCGTCTTTTCCCATTTCGCTAGAGCCTAGATGTCAAGCATTTTGAGTAAAATTTTGATTCACCAATTCTTTTGTTGGCGAAACATCACGAGTAAGACTACATCCAAATACTTGCAGATGTTTAAGCATTTATATAATATTTTATCACGAGTAAAATTCTTTTGTTTATTCATATTTTTATAAATATGAAATTTATCCCTTTTAACACTTATTATCTACAAGTTGAGTTATGTCCATCGCAGGGGCGGAGCTAGGGGGTGCCCAGGCTAGGCCCTGGCCCACCCCAAATTTGAAAAATGTCAATATTTTTAGTGTAAAAAATTTCGTGTAATTTTTTTTCAATAATATTCTTTGTACCGGCTCAGTCTAGCCCAGTGTCCTGGCTACGCCCCTGGTTCATCGACAACGAATATATATATTAGGTTTATAGATATTGAGATGATTAGTAGTGAAATTCTCACATGCTAAACTTAACTTATAGCAAAAAAAAATTAAAGACTAAATATATACTCGGTAACTTGTTATCAATTATTTTTACTATGTTGAATTCCCAGTTTCCCACTCAGCTCTTAACATACTAGCAATTTTTATTACGTAGTACGGAGTACACAATTGTATCGGGGTCGCGGTGCATGTTGTTTCGATCACTCTACCTCATACGAAATCAGATTTAAAAAGAAAATCAAATTACAACAGAAAATGTGAGTCTAGTAGGATACTAGTATGAAGTATAGGCTATATTTCCAAGGTGAGTATAAGCTAATAATTCCAAAATCTGAGTATAATTTATCTTAAAGAAACATTTATGTACAACATTAGTTGACGTTAAAATTTTTGAAGTTACCGGCCCGTGGATAATAAAAGCAGTGACAGAGCGCTAAATAATACCGATCCCACTAATACATATATGGTCCACTCTTTCTTTTTCTTCTCTGGAATAGTGATTTGCATCATGTTTCTTTTTCCATAGCTTTATCTACTTTATTTTTCTTTTCTTCTCCTTCATCAAAGTACTAAAATATATTTGCAAATTTACTTTTCTTTATTTATCTTCAACTTAAATTACAACTCAATCTATTTTTTTTTTACTTTATCAATGCACAATAAAAAAATTATTAATCTAAATAAAATAAGTATATTGCATTTCATATTCATACGCTATTTTTATTTCTATGTTTTTATATTCACACTTTTTTGTAATATATTTTTTTATATTCTTACAATTTTCTTCTACAACTTTTTATCTCTTTTATATGTTTTTAGAGATTCTTTGAGAAATTGAGTTTGTTTATTTTGATTGCTGTAGTTATATTTGATAGTATATGGAGTTACATCTTCTTGTACACATTTTACATCTTCATGTGCGCGGGTTACATCTTCGTATGTGCAAGTTACCTTCTGATGCGCAAGTTTTGTGATGGAGTTATATGGCCCAGGGACCCCCAGCCCACATACTCTTATTCCTCCTAAACAGGCCCAATAAACCCAATAAGCACGTGAAGCCCATATACGGCGGCCCAAGCTTGAAGGAGCCCATGACACACATAGGGGTGCCTTCGGCACCATGGCCGAAGGCACGAAATTCCAGGAGATAACTATTTTTGGGCCCACGAAACTACTGGGAGATTCTGGCTGAAACAGCAGCCTTCGGCACATATACCGAAGGATCTCCACTTAGCGAAGATCTTGTCTGAGGACAGGCAACCACCGCATTCAATACGGTGTCACATCCAACCACCGCATTTAATGTGGTGCCACATGCAGTGCCGTCGCCAGCTGGCTGAAGTGACCCTCCACCATTGGTTACTTGACACGTGTACTCACATTTAATGCGCCTAGCATTTATGGCTGCTATAAATAGCGTCTCCTTTTCCTCTGTAAACACAACGAGTTCATTTAATACAATTTGACTCTCTCTTACTTGTTGCTCCGACTCCTCTCTAGATATCACTCGTGGTATCTCTCGGATAAGCTACCCCCGGGTACACTATCCATCATTTTGTTTTTCACAAAAAAACTCATGTTATTGAAATAAATTAAAAAAACAATGTATTTTGAAAATAATTTTTTATAGTCTTCATGTGTGCGAAGTACATCTTCGTATATGTGTAACTTATATCTTCTTATGCGCAAATTACATCTTCTGATGCGCACGTTTTGTTTTTCACAAAAATAAAGTAATAAACTCATGTATTGAAATAAAAAAATGGTTTTTTAAATATTTTTTTATAGTCTTGATATTAAAAAAAAAACATATTCACTATTTACATAAACTAATTGAGCAATTAGACTCTTTTCTTCATTGTTTACAACGAAATCAAAATTTTATTTCTTATGCTTTGAATTAGACATACAAGTTACATTTATAGCTGTCAAAAATATAGCTTTTGTAGCATACGCAAAATGTTGCAATAGGTGTAAAAAATGTCGCAATATATTAAATGCAGCATTTTTGGCATGCTGCATCCGACTGGTGTTACAATAGATGTATTGTAGCATTTTTTTCATCTTGTTGTATCATTTTTTGGTACAATAATGTTATAATAGATACTATATTGTAGCAATTTTTATAATGCTACAAAATAGATGCTGCAATAAACACTTTTTGTGCTAGTGAATTTTGACTAATCTTCAATTACATTTCTCATCAACATGAGTTACATTTCTTTACCAACCAATGAAATTACTCAACAACTGAAAAAAAAAGTTAATGTTCACTTGTTCACCATTTCCGCGTGTAACTATTCACGCGTGTTTTAATTGTATGAGTAGAATTGCCATGGTCCTACATGGATTACTCCCTCGATATAACGAGTGACAAAGAGGCAGTAATTACTTGTATTAATTACTCCGTACTTGTGAGTTGTGATCACATACGCGTATGTTGTACTCAGTAGGCAGTACAATATCTAGTCTCTATATGTATCATGTATGTCTAATGAAATAATTAAACGTACCAAAGCAGTTCAAGAGTGGTTATGAGCCCATTTGGTACTATCAAAATCTGGCTGAAGTGGCTGAATTGATTGATTTTGTTGATTTATGAAAAAATTATATTTAAAATATATATTTTGTTAATAAAATAAAGAAAAACTTATATGTAAATATAACTTAAAAGATCATGTACATTAACTTCGGCCGATATAGAAAATGTAACTTCAACCTTACTTTTTCTTATTATTACACAATTCAGTGCGCGGAATCAAAAGTTACGTCTTTGATGAAAACTTTGTTGATAACTCTGATAAGGCGAAAAACAACGTTACCAAAACGGCTCTATGCCTCTATATATACGGGAGATGTAAGACGCGGATTCTTGCATAATAATACCATATAGAAGCATGGAGATGGCTAAAAGCAGTGTGGAGAATGCGCTGGTGAGGGTGGACTGTCTAACTTCCATTATTGGGCCTAGACTTACCAAAGATGTGGAAGAGGCGCTGACGAAGCTCATGAATGAGCTGAATTGGATGAAAAGCTTCCTTGCCGCCGGCAAAAGAAGGAACAGCGGACAGGTGGTGGCAGCCGATGTCTATATTGCGGTCACACTCCTTGGGGATCAGGTTGAAGCACGTCTAGGCGGCGTCGGTGGGGTCGTCAAAATCACCACCCAAGACTTGGTCGATCTGGGCAATGGTTTTGCCAGTCTTAGACAACAAATGCGAGCTGGTGGTTCCTCATCATCATTACTAGTTTAAGAATTTTCGCAGGGTGTTCAAGGGTATCATTAGATCTGCATGCTCATAAGTGCTTATGGGGCTCTCTTCTTTTTTCTATCTACTATTAAAGTTTCGTGTCAAATAAAATGGATATCTGGATCAACATATCTATCTGGATTAACTTTTGTTTTTATATGCGTCTGTTTATTGTGTGTATGTCCAGAAGAAACACTAGTAAAATAATAAATTTATTATTACTATATATTGACTTGTGTTGTCAATGGAAGTTTCATTTATTACCATAAAATCTATTCCATAATCAATTTAAGGTGTTCCTCTTCAACAGATGGAAGTATTCTATCTCGTTTCGGGCTTTTTGGAGTGACTTATGGTGACCATGGGATATGTGAGGTCCATCCATCCCACTTCTTAAATTTGATGTGCATCTTCTGTATCTTCCTTTGGTGTGTTTGTCGAGTTCATGGTTTTGCTTCTTTTTATCTTTGTGGCTGTGTAAAGCCTTTAAGGTGTTCCTCTTCAACAGGAAGATTCTCTATGACCTGAAACAGGGGCGTAGTCAGGAGTAAGAGTTGGGCCGGTACAAAAAAATTTGACAGATAAATTTTTATAAATAATTTTTTACATTAAAAATATAAACAATTTTAAAATTTGGGCTGGGCCGTGGCCCGGTTGGCCACCCCTCCACCTCCACCCCTGACCTGAAACAGAAAGAGTTACAATTCCTACTTATCATTAATAAAGAACTATTACAAATAATAACTTTTGTGTTATATACATATCAATGGAGTAAAATAAAATAGTATTTTAAAAAGGTTTTTAAAATCATCAAACACAATAACTGATTAATGAGTATTATCTAGAAATAATATTCTTCAATTTTGCACATATGAGGTATATATGTCACATAATATTGAATATATATATATGATAGTATTTACTTTTGCCCCTATAAATTACTCCCTCTGTCCCATTAAGAGTGTCTCATATTTTCTTTTCAGTCTGCTCCACTAAGATTGTCACGTGAGATTTTAAATTATTCTTACTTTATTCTTTCTTTACAATTCAATATCAACATTATAATCCCACTTTTTTAAATAACAATTTCAGCTCCACTTATCCCTGTTGATATTGTCCCAACAGATTAAAATATTAGTAAAATTAAGTGTTTATGTATATAAATTAAAATATATTTTATATTAATATAATTATTTTAAAATAATAGGGAGTATTAGTCATAGTGAGAAACCAAATACCAAAATCGACAGAACTACAACTATTCTTTGTGGTTTACTTCGAGTAGTGCTCCAATTGCCAAGTAAACTGAAAGCGAATTTTTGCTAGAATTTTAGTAGGCTTGGGAACTATCCCGATTGGGAATTGAAAGACCGTCTCCTGCAACTCCCATATGCACGTTACTTTTGCCAAGGATACTATTTACTTCATTAAGTCCCTAGTAAATGTCTTTAATGCTATCATAAAAAAAAAAGTAAATGACTTTAATGCTATCATAAGTGCCATAAGTATCATGATGATAGGAATGAGGAGCGTGTAAATCAATGCATCATTTGTCCAATTCAATTTTATATGAGCTAATAACATTCATCATCAATGTTATCGATATTAGCATATATTCGCCCATACTCTTCAAATTTTGGACAAAAATTCAATTATTAATATGTCACTTTCTCATTTCAACTATAGATTCAATCATTCAATCCAAATATGAAATTGATTCTTTGACACATAATAAAATAAATTTCCAAAAAAAATTGTTGAATGAAAGATAGACAAAAAAAATAGTTAGTGTCATTTCCCGAGTTATTTCCGGGGGAGGGGTGTTTTTCAAACTTATTTCTCAAACTAGAGTACTTCTAAACTTATTTCCCAAAGTAGGGTATTTTTCGCCATGTCATCGCAGGTCGCCACATCAGTTTATCCACGTCATCCAAGCAATTCCATGTCATCCAACTTTAAGAATTGAAGTGTGTTTCTAAAAGAAACAAAAAAGGTTGGCACCAGGATTCGAACCTGGGTGTGGCACAAGGAGGAAGAGCTTCTAAACCACTACACTAATCAGTTATCTTGTGCATTTGACGTTTTGCCATATAGTTAAACCATATATACTTCTTTCCCTAACAATCAAAAAAAATATAATAAAAACTTAACTTGAGTTATTCAATTAAAAAATAAAAACCTAATTAAAATTTATAATAAAAACATATTTCGCAATATTTAATTAGAAAATATTAATTTAAACTTATAATAAAAAACATAATTTGCAATATGTAAACATTTTTTGAAATAACTCAAAACGAAATAAAATAAAATATAAGTAAATTCATGCTAGTCCACCTCAATTTTTTTAAAACAATATTAATAATGTAAAATACCATATACATTTTAAACTTATAATTAAAAACTTAAGTTAAGTTATTCAATTAAAAAATAAAAACCTAACTATAAATTAATAATAAAAAACATATGTTGCAATAGTTAATTAGAAAATAAAAACTTAATTTACACTTAATAATAAAAACACATAATTTGCAATATGTAATCAATATTTTTTAAAATAACTCAAAACGAAATTCAATAAAATATAAGTGAATTCATTCTAGTCTACCTCTCATGAATAATATCCAATTTTAAATTGCGGTGGGCTAAAACCTTCCATGACATTTATTATTTTATTTAGCTCTTTATTTTTAATTATCTCAAACACAGTATCTTATGATATTTTTTAATTATTTCAAAATGAAGTTATGCGCAGTATATCTCTAACGAAAAGAGTAATACACGGATAAATGAATATACATTTGGATTTAAAATATTTGAATTTCAAATTTCACTAAAACTTAGCTCAAATTTGAGCATTGTATTTGAATTCAAATCAATAATAATTTATGAGAAAAATTCGAACCGAAGTCCATTTGAAAAGAATTGAGCTGCTACAAAGGATATTTTTTGAGAAAAATTGTATATGATATTTGTTTACATTATTATTTTACATTAGCATGAAATTTAATTATTTTTTATTTTACTTATTTTTTAGTTATGTCAAATAATTTCTTAATTACATACTTCAAATTAAGTTTTTTATTATATGTTTAAAATTTATATGGTATTTTATATTATTAATTTTATTTTTAGAAAATTGAAGTGGAATAGAATGATTTGCTTATATTTTCTTTTTTTTCATTTTGATTTATTTCAAAAAATGTTCACATATTGCAAATTATGTTTTTATTATAATTTCAAATTAAGTTTTAATATTCTAACTAAATATTGCGAAATATGTTTTTTATTATAAATTTTAGTTAGGTTTTTATTTTTTAATTGAATAACTCAAGTTAAGTTTTTATTATATTTTTTTTAATTGTTAGGGAAAGAAGTATATACGGTTTAACTATATGGCAAAACGTCAAATGCACAAGATAATTGATTAGTGTAGTGGTTTAGTAGCTCTTCCTCCTTGTGCCACACCCAGGTTCGAATCCTGGTGCCAACCTTTTTTTATTCTTTTAGAAACACACTTCAATTCTTAAAGTTGGATGACATGGAATTGCTTGGATGACGTGGATAAACTGATGTGGCGACCTGCGATGACATGGCGAAAAATACCCTACTTTGGGAAATAAGTTTAGAAGTACTCTAGTTTGAGAAATAAGTTTGAAAAACACCCCTCCCCCGGAAATAACTCGTCATTTCCCTCTCTTTGATGTTGAAAGTGTGTGAGTGTTTCAATTACTTTGTATGGATAATGTCAAATACAATGCTCTAAATCTCGGCATAGTATTTGACAGTGTAAATTAAAAGTAGCTAAAATAAACACACCGTTGAAATAAAATAAAGAAATGATTTTTTTTCATGTATCTAACTTTCCCATGACACATATATACTTTCAACATTTTTTCATTGGAAATAGCTCTAATATATATGAACTTTCAAAATGTGATGTGATAATATAGAAAGGTGCAACACCGGTACTTGTTTGGTAAACCTGCTTTTCGGCTTATGAGACTTATGAGCTAACTTTTTCATCAAACACATAACTTTTGATTTCCACGCTGAATTGTGTAATAATAAGAAAAAGTAAGGTTGAAGTTACTTTTCTGATTGTATTGGCTGAAGGTACTGTAGAGGACTACTTTAGCTATTATTACATATAATTTTTTCTTTATTTTATTAATAAAATATATTTTAAATATAATTTTTTTCATAAATCAACAAAATTAGCAACTTCAGCCACAATATTATATATTTCAACAGAATCAGCAGATTCAGGGCAAAAACGTTTTGCAATATGTATTTCAAAACATTTTTACACGCTTTTATCACATTACTAGACCTACACAAAAACGGGTTCAGGCTGGGCTCGGGCCGGGCTTTTTATAAATTTTCTACCCGTCATGTGTTGGAAGGGCCCGGCCCGCAAAACGGGTCTAACCCCATGTCCATACCCGCCCTTAAGAGCGGGCCTGGTAGTTCACCGGACCACCTCGCCCGGGAAAACTTTAAAATTTTCAAATTTATATAATTTTTTATACTTCATAAATAATACTACGTATTACAACATTTAAAAAATTGCTAATGCGCTTATAATATTTATAGGCCTTTCACCACATACACAAAATATACTTTCACAAAAATAATAATGAAAACTATATCAAAAATTGCCAATATGGCAATACGCTTACAATATTTATAGGCCTTCAAGCACAAAGTATTATCTTTAAGTACAAAAGTTTAAATTATATTGATTGGGCTAGTTGTTAAGAACTAAATACTTAAATGTAAACATAATAAACTATAAATATGTATAAAGATAAATTAGTAAATAGAAATATGCATGTGTACATGTAAATAAATAAATAAATAAATTAGTATATATATAAAAATATATACTACGTATGTAGTATGTATATATACTCAATGTGGCGGGCCGGGCTTATTGGCTCGAACGGGCCTACACCATAACTCAAGCCCGCCCATATGTTATTGCGGGCCGGGCCGGGCCCGCCCGGTGGGTAAATATATGTCCAGGCCCGCCCATTTGTGCGGACGGGCTGGACAGGCGGGCCGGACGGGCGGGCCGGACGAGCCTGCCCCGTTTTGCGCATGTCTGCACACTGCACATAAGCAACAAGAAAAATGTTTGGTGTACACATTTTCACAAAATGTGTACACCTACCAAAACTCTAAGCAACAAATACATGATGAGCTTGGAGATGTTCTCGGATGAGTATAGTATGTAGATTTTTGTTAGGGGTACACAAAATGTGTACATATGTCTGTCC